AGGTTGATGTGCTGTTTCTTCACTATGTTGGCATATAGAGGAAACACAGGGTTACTATTTTTTTTTCGTTTTGATGGAGATTCCCATATGTTCATATGCTCTGACTTTTAAATGGCGTTTGGTTTTGCCAATACAGGAGGCCTTACAGTCTCCACACGTGTAAAGATAGACAAGCCAGGAACAATAAGGAATGGGGAGGAGATCTTTAGTAGGGAAAAAAAATTATCCGTGATGTGGATTTAAAAACTAATCTGAAATCCACTTCAGGATAATAACGACCAAGTATGCGTTTAAGTTAATTTTTTAAATTTAAGATTTGTTTGCCAGTATAGGGAAGACACGAGTATATAGTAAGTTTGGGTACAGTTGGTATCTTAATTGGACTTGTGATTTTCTTTGTTAGGAAGGTGTTGGTAATGTTTTCTAATAAGTGTTGTGGATAGCAGTTATGTTTCACGATATCATGTAAGAACAAAATTTCAGAGTGTAGATTAAGATATGTGGAGCACTGGTTGTAAGGTCTGTTTAGTAAGCATGCAACAAGGTTTCGTTTATACATAATATCCAGTCTTCATTTAAATTATACATTTTTTAATATGTTCGTATTACTGATTTTACCCTTTTTTGTTGTGTTTTCTTGCTGTAGTTTCTCCTCATGATTACTGTTTTGTGTTTTATTTGTTTAATTATTGTTATATTTAGCAATTGTACTTTTACAATGCCCAAAGACTTATGTAAATTTATTTTATTCTGCTTTTAGATACTGAAGATGGAATCTGATAGAATTCAGAAACGTTTATTTATGTCCCCTTTTTGTCAATAAACAATGTTGTATATCATAAGTGTCGTAATCTTGTTTATTATCAAACTTCATTTTCCCTCGAACACATCGATTGCTTTTCACACATGGTTTAGGTTACAGGTTTCCATACATATTTCACACTTTGTTTATATGTTAGATGTCCTGCCACATTTCACACTTTTCTTATGTTGCAGGCTTCCTCACACTTTTCACACATTGTTTAGGTTACAGGCTTCCACACATTTTTCATATGTTTAAACACAATTTAACTTTGTTTATTTCACAGGTTTCAACATCCTTTCACTCCTGGTAGTTCTCACTCACTTCCTTCCACTTTAATACATGCTTTAGCAACGTGTCATTCCCTGACTGTAGTCGATGGGAGGTTAATGGGTTATCCTGTAGACATAAAAATGTTCAATGTTGTAGCTTGGGTAAGTAAATAACTTCATAATAAAAATACTAGATATGTAACAAAAAAAACTTTTTCTAACTTACAGTATCACCTCTTTATTAATATACATGTATTATGAGCTTCAGTTATCTGTTCAAAATAATATTTTTACCATTTTTTGTCACCACTATACAGTTAACATGTTCAACTTCAACTACCAACATATTATTAAAGTTGAACTTTAATTTCACTTTAACTGTACATCCTATTCCATCCATAAGTCTATTACAATGGCAGGAAGTCCATGCTTTTTTAAAAAATCATCTTATTACAAAAGTAAATATGTTTCCTTTTGCTACCAGATTATCACTAACATTGGTTTGGTGCTAGAAGAGGCATTTTTTCAACTAATAAATTTAAACGTTTTTCTTTTTTGGTCCACTTATTGTTCAGTTTCTTTGCAGTTGATGATAATACTGAAGAAAACTCTATTGAGAATATTTCATTTATTCAAAAGAACTTTTAAAGTTTTACTGAATGGGCTAGAACATTTAAAATGTATTTTAATATTGATAAATGCAAAGTTATGCATTTGAAAGAAGGAAAATTCGAAAGGACTGAGCTAGGGAATCAAACCACTAGCTGATTCTCATAATGCACATGTTAACAACTCAAACTACTACGTTCTTCCCATTTGGCTCATCCTCATATTGTATCTCGGGGATTTTGGCTGAGCTTCACAATGTTTACCAGTATTCCCATGGTAATCCACTTTTTCCCATTTCTGTAGCTTTGAATCAAACCTAGAATTTTACACAGACCAGATAAGTGCTCTACCAAGTGAGCTAAAGGGTTAATTAATAGCTACCAATAGTAAGACACTTTTTAAAAACCCAAAATAACACAGGCATAATAGGTTTAAGTTTTGAAAGCCTCATTGTAGACTTGTTTTTTAACAAAATTGATTTTGCTTAATATTTTAAACTTCTGGAATTATTTGCCTGAAAATGTTTAAAGTTATTATAATTATCCATGTTAATCTTTTCATTCTGTTTTACCATTCAACTACTTATTATTGTAATTATTTATAACGTGTTTATTCATAGCATTATGTTTTCCAGCAGACTTTATTTGTAATCTGCTTCTACCACTTAAACACTGTTATGCTCAACCTTTGTATAATGTGGAATTTGTTTCTACCATTTAAACACTGTTCTAGCCTCTCTTCATACATAACATAATGAGTTAGGACAACATGGGGCCTATTGGTTCATCTTGGCTGTTCCATCCTCTAAACTAAATTAAAATAATTAAATAAAAAATCTTAAAGCCAGCCCTTATC